TGAGCCTTCACAAAACCCTCTTTTCTATTCTCAAGCAAAAAATGGCCTCCAGTGATTGCGCACTTCTCGATTTGTGCGTGTCATCCTTGTGCAGGAAAGGCTGGGACGGAGGGTGCCTTCACACTCCCCCTCTCCGCACCTCCAGCGCGGAGACTTCAAAGAGTCCCTCCTACTCACTGCCTTCGGATGCTTAGCGAAAAAACTGTAGACTCAAGGCCATTTCACGAAAGGAAAACGTCGCAGCTTTCAGATCCTCTGTGCTGTACGGCATAACGGATTGCACCCATGCAGTACTTCTAAAAACGGACCTGTGCCATACAACGGACTCACATCACGTTCTAGGCTGTAGCTCCAACTCTGTGCGGCCCTTCCAGCGAGAAGCTAAAGGTCTTGCTGAAGGTGCTTCGTCCCATCGGTCTTCGATCTTGTTCGATGTCTCACAACAGGCTGTGTCCAGCTTGTGGAATGACTGGCTCCTGGATACGGTAGAGGCTCCAACGCACCTGAGCTACGAGGACTCTTGGGCACGATGCGGACTCTCTCAGTGGAAGGAACCTGCGCCCTTCTCTCACCAGAAATACGTCCAGATTCCTGTTCCACAGGCTCCGTTCTCGCACCAGTGTCCGCCTCCCGCTCCGTTCTCACACCAGTGTCCTGCTCAGGCTGTCCCACTACGACTTTCACAGCTTCCAAAAAGGTCGGTGTTCCTGCGGCCAACACGTCATCGCAGTAGACCGCGGCAACGCCTTGATCTTCCAGATGTCTCTGAACAGCAGTTAACCAGCTTTGCAGTCCTCCCCCGGTACCAGCTCTCCCCCCTCCATGGCCCTCCGTAGCAACGGGGTTGTCTCGGGAACCACTAGAGGTCTCAGGATTCCGGGTACTAAACTCAACCCTAGCGAGTCGTTGTCGAAGACCTTCCTCAGGAGGCACATCATCGGGCCTAGGGTAACCTTGGTTTGAGGGGCTATCTAAGAAACCAACTTCTCTCACAGACCAGTCGCTAGCCTGCTCAGATGGTACTCTGAAAGCCCTCACATTCTCAAGATCCTCGGGCGGAGTATTTCGGCAACGCAACCACCAAGTGAGCAACAAGCCGCCAAGCAACGCCAACACACAAGCAGCAAGTTTCAGCAAGCTCGTGAACTGCTGGTCTCCGGACTCAGAATGTCCTTCCTCAACCTTGACTGTGACCAACACTTCTCGTTCACCAAGCACACGCTGCACGCACGACGCCACAGTAAGAGCACGCAACGCTGCAACAACCGGCGCTTCAGGCTTTTCTGGCGTTTTTGATTTGGATTTGGGCTTCGACTCTGATTTGGATTGGGGTTTCGACTCTGACTCCCCCCAAGCGGAACCCGCTTGCAAAGGACTGGTCATGCCCAACAACTGGCACAGCTCACGAAGACGTTGTCCCTGCAAAGGCTTGGTACACAAGTCGCCTAACATCCAACGACCCACCAAATGACGCAGCTCATACTGTTCATCCTCCAGCTGCTCTCTAAAGGCCTTGGCCTTCAGACGCAGATGTCTGGTACGCCAAGCTCCACTCGGAGCCGAAAACAAGGTTACACAGCTGACGTTGTCGTTGTAAACAAGCTTTCTGACTGGCACCTCAAGCAACTCCGCAATGATAGGACCCAAAACATGAAGCAAGGTGATGCCATCAATTGTGGAATGCAACTCACTTTCTGCTGTGGACAAGCTTACAACCGACTGGCGAGTGCTCAACCAAACGACGGCCGCTCCACCGAAAGTAGCAACAACTCCTGTTTGGCTCTTCTGATTTGCCGGCGCGAAACTCGCATCCGCAAAGATTTCCAAAAGAGCAAGCTGCCGAGGAGCTCCTAGTTGATCGCTTTCACCAAACATGGCCTCACCGTCAACCGGATCAAAACGCAAGCCAAGGTCAATGGTTCGTCGAAGATACTTCAAAAGCGTCTCGCTGCAAGCCACTGCGTAAGCGGGAAACTTGCTCATCAAATGGGCAATACGGTTTGTCGCGTAGGCTATATCGGGTCGCGACCGGCATGAGAGCCATTGGAACGCGCCGCCATAAGCCTGCGCTTGCCTAAGCGTCTGCAGGTTAGGGCTTTCTTCCGAAGGCTCCTCATCTTTGAGATAAGGCACTTCAGAAGTACCTACAACATGAGGATAGCGCAACAGAAGGTCTCTGATGTAGTCCTCTTGGTTGAGAAGAAAGCCTCCCGACTCTAAAGCATGCAGGTTGAAACCGCAAAAGCGAACAGACGCCCCTGGCTGCACGAGCTCCGGCTCGGAGGTGGTCCATATGCCCTGGACAGCTTTCACGAAGCCATCCACAGCTTCCGTCTCACCCGTAAACAGAATATCGTCTACGTAGATACCGATAAGACCTTCCATGTGGCGTTTTCCCTCAGAATCCCAACGAAGAATCTTCCAGAGGTTTTCGTCCGTATGACATTGCTGCAGACAAAACGTAGACCCGTGCTCGTCTGTCCACTTCATGTGAGATAGCTGCAGATCGCGCTCAGTAGCCCATGCAGCCGGTGCCTCTGCTAGCCCATAAAGGGCTTTGAGAACCAGCCACTTTTCTCCAGGCTCTACGATATTCAAAGTGACGAGAATTCTGGGCGGCGTGACAATAATCGCCTTTGACACCAGTTTCTTAGTGGCCTTGGAACCCAAACCCTGCCTTTGAAACAATGGAGCAGCAAGAAAAGCAGTCTTCACGTCTAAAGTACCTGCTCTCCATCGCCTAGCTGATGCAAGACGAACTTGCAATCGCACTGCCGCGCCATCCATTCCAGAAGCGTACAGATCCTGACTGCGAGCCTGTCCTAAAGCTCCTGCAGCCTTGTCGTCCCTAGCAGTCGGCATGTAGTTTCCACAGCCTACCACTCGAGCGCGCTTTTTGTTGGTAACAGCTTTTTGCGTGAACACAACTTTGCCTGGAATGTGCGTAACAGTCATGCTTTGCTCAAGCTCCGCGATTTCAGCAGGACTAATGGCCCTGACAGCTTGATGCGTGACCTTGAGGGCATTGACTTCTTCCGTCAGAGGAACGCGCCAGCTATCAACATCCTGCCAGACCTCCTGTTGAGAAACTACACGGGTTTGCAATAGGATCGCAGGGTCTTCAGGGGGTTTCGCGTCTTTAGATTCTATGTAGCTAGAATGCAGGCCAAAATCTGGGTGTTTAGCATCTGACTGAAGAGGAGGTTCACCTGTCAGCGGCAACTCTCCCAGCTCGTTTGCTGGCTCTTTGCCGTGAGTGTCCAACACGCCTCCCTCATCATTCTCACCTGCATCCCCAACATGGACACTACAAAGATTCACGTTCTCGTAAACCCCACGACCCTCAAAATCCCTCACAATCCCTTCAATAGTCTGAAGTTTCCGAAGCCAAAACCCTGTGTCAACCCCTCTGCTGAAACCGTCCAATGCATGATCATGCTCTTCTGCAAGCACAGCCGCAGTATACATATCCTGTAGCTCGGTAGCTTGTACTAGTGAGGCGTACCCCTGGCCTAACTGAACTTCTTCGGAAAAGGCCCTCTGTTCTTCAGCAACAAACTCCCGAAGCCTACAAAGATACTCCGCATGATCCCCTGAAACGCCTACAAGTTCGCATGCACAGAGTTTTGGGGGTTTAAGACCGGCTTGAGGTTTCGGCTTCTCCTTTCGGATTGTTCCGTTTCGCGGGAAGAGACACTGCGGGGCTCACCCTGGCCATTTGCAACTACAGAGTCTCGGGAAGACAAAGCATCTAGCTCTTGTGGAGGCAGAGGAAAGTTGAGTGCAGCTAACGCTTGTCTGTCTGCTGGATCTGCCTGATCTAGCATACGAGGTGTGTAAGCTACAACAACCCTTCTTATCTCAGAAGCTTCCTCAACGCAATGCCATTTTCCAGGATCAAACCGAACAACCTGGTCACTGCCGCCCACAAAACGACCCAGAACTTTCCTCTCAGCAACACCCTTAACCTGAAACTCAAACTCCTCTTCTTCAGGGCTTTCGGGTGAACCTTCAATCCAAATCCTACCCTTTTCGTAGGCGTTCATGGGACACAAGATGTTTTCCGACCCCTTTTGGTTGTGGGAATCCCTATGTGGTTCAGTGCCTCCCTTTGTCTCTAAAACTCTCAACGCTGCCCACGTGGCATCCGGCACGATCTGCTGCAGGTACTTGTTTACTGCTGCGGTGAGATACTTGTGTTGCGTAGTCTGCTTCGTGATTCCTACAGCATTTCCATACACAAAAAGGCCAAGAGTCAGCCCTCTGGCTCCCTGCGCACGGCTGCAGCGATCTACCTTTCTACCTTTGGAAGACAACACTTTGCCCTGCAAGGCCTCAGTAAGCAGTGTGTTCAGTTCGCCTTTTGGGATCCAGGTTCCTTTGAGCAACTGTTGAGCTCTGGCTTCGACGTCTAGAAGGCCCTCACTCTCACTTAAACTCTCGCTCTCACTTCTTTCTTCTTTTTCTTTGTCCCTACAAGCGCAAAGGCCCCTTGCGAAGGCCTCCCCCAGACCAAGACCCCCTTCATCACTGCCTGCTCCGGGCACTGGCTCATCAAAAAGAAGATCTGACTCCCCCCTGGCCGCATCGCGGCCAGCAGCATCCTCAACAAGTCCCTCCACACCATCATCCGATCTCGCAACGGGTGCTGATTTAGCCCTCAGCCGACGGCCGCCCGTACGAGGAGGATGGGAAGGCGGTGGCAGAGGAGGCGGAGGGTCGTCTGCTTCTTCAGGAAGCTCCCTGCCCTCAAACTGCACAGGCTGCAACACACGTTGCACCGCCACCGGAGCGGTGTACAACCGAACAAGCTCAGTTCCATCATCTTGGGTATCCACCAAGCGCACTACCGTGGCATTATGGACACGCTCACTTGGACACACTGCGGTGCCGTGCAAGGTTTTCACGTCAAAAGGAGACTTGCGACTCCATTCTCTTTTGCGCACCACCACCCGAGTGCCATACGGCACCAGTGGTCTAGATCGCAGCTGGCCTCCCAACAACGACATACTCCTCTCAAACCGCTGAGCAACCCACTGACGCAGCGCATGAGGCCAACAACTGACCGGGAGATCTGGCGCCGTAGACAGAACCGTGCGTACCCCTCCCTTCACCAAGTTGATGTGTGCCTCCACTCGCCCGTTCGCCTTAGGGTCACTGGGGGATGAGTGCGTAAGAGCAATGTCTCGCGAAGTTGCCCACGCAACGAAGTTGCGATTGGTGAACTCTCTACCCTGATCAGAATGGATACGTCGAACTGAGAGGTTCAACAAGCGAATGCGAGCATAAATGCGTTGCACAGCTTGAAGCACCACAGACCCCCGTTTGGAAGTAAGAGGTTCTGCAAACAGAATGCTGTGCACACGAACCGGCTCGGTTAACTTAGCACGCATATCTTTGCAGAACTTGTCGCTAGGACCCTTTTCCCCTTCAGGCTCTGCACTGTCATGCTCCCCCGCTCCAACTGGATCTTCTCCACCTTCTGTGTCTTCAAACTCATCCACACCGTCTGCTTTAAAGGCTTTCTCATCAGCAAACAAATCCGGATCCAACTCATGTTCCAAGTCCCGGTTCGGAGTACCCCCAACCGGGAAGCCGCGGAGACGCGCATCATGAGCATCAGCGGCGGAGCCCGGCGACGCACAGCGCGCATCATGAGCATCAGCGGCGCTACTTGATGGTGCTTTAAGCAAAGCCGCCTCCCCATGACCATGATCACCCTCATCATCTTCCGGTAGCTTATGATCTTGAGCATCACCGTTTGGGTCAACCAACAGCTTTGGACGTCCATCAGTGTAGACCGGAACTGTCAGTGTGGCCACGAGAACATGTCGAACAGGTTTTTCGTGCATGTGATCATGTCCTGCTTTCCAAGGCCCGATAAGGTCTAAAGACAAAACCAAAGCATTGGATTGAGGATGTCGGTTACGCAAGTGTTGATGTGTTCTCATCATACCCCCCAAACAAACCGCACAGTCCCGACGATAAACAACATGATCTCGCCTACAGTGATCACAAAACTCCGCATCTTTCGCACTCAACGCTCGAATCGTACGATGATCCGCTTCACGCTCATTCCAACGCTCCTCCTGGCTGGAACCTAACCATTGCTCTATGGCCCTCCCAATTGCACTACACAAACCCGGAGCCCACTTCGACCAGGTTTTGGCTTGCGCCATGCGAGCTGGTAAGTCCCCGGACAACTTGATACTGGAAGCGCTGCCCTGAACCCCATGCAGCTGTTTGTACAAGCACCAACTGTTGGTCAGTACCGAAGTCGGCCTACAGGCTTCATGTCCTAACCCTGACTGCTGAAAATCAGCAATCAACATGTTCTCTGATTCTTTGAGGCGATTTACTTCAGGACTAGCAAAGAAGGACGCGGCATCTGGGCAATCTTTCCTGTAAGTAGCTGGATCCTGAGGTCCCTCAAGCACACACAAGACATTCCCGTCCGTAGCGACTGTCGCTAGCCGATACAGGTACAGAAATCTCATGTACAGCAAGTTCGCCTCCCAAAGCTGCTGCTGCTCTGCAGCGGCTAAGCCTTCTTTACCATAGCGCTCCGGACCCACTCTAGCCCGAATACGCCGAGGACCCTGGTCCCAATGGCCCATCTCCCGACACACCGAATACGTTCCACATGGTGGTCCCCCAATGACAGCCCACACTTTCCCACTGTTGCACAATTGGCACAAGTACCGAAACAGCGCTCGGCCAAGCAGATCCGCTCCCTTGTTGACGTCTACAGAGAGTACATAGACCCCATTCGGTAGATGGCCCAGTTCCCTCGCCGAAGTCTGTCCCGAGAAAAGGTGCAGCACTACTCCTTGCGCTTTTTGCACCCTACGACGCACACGACGATTGAACGGAAGATCTTCACCTTTCACCTCCCCACGCTTACTTGAAGGCACTGCTGCCAACAACTCCACAGGTGCTCCCGGGCACAACCATTGCAGCCACCGCAGTGCAGCAATGTCTCCAGCATCCTCGTTCATATCCTTTTCAATGTTTTGTGAAGTTTCGAAGTTGTTGGAGTTCGAGTTCATCGCGAGGCTCTTAAGGTACAAGGCTCGTTGCATGACACACGCCCTGTGATCTTCCAACTCTTGGATCAAATCAATGGCTAGTTGATACGGAACCTCAGGGCACATAGACGTCATAGTGACTGGCAACAACCCTCTGACTGGATGAAACACCTCACAGGAGCTGTGATCCCACTTCACAGAGCAGTTCAGCTCCGCAATCAAAGCACCTAGAGGCACGATAGGCGCGCAGCTACTTGCAGTGACAACTGTGCCTACAGGGTTAATTTTCAGCGCAGCAGTTCCTACAGCCAAGTTGACACGAGTTTCTTTGCATAAGGATAGCTCACCCTCAGTAGCCTGACGAAGGGCATGTGTTGCCCCTCCATCCAAAAGGCCATTCGGTTTGGCCTGGCACTTCCTAAGAGCATGCTGAAGCATCCCCGCTGGAATACCACCCTCAAGCTCCTCGACGTTCTCTGAGCTTACTCCCGGCGCAGTGAAGGTGTTTGCACTAGTGCTACGCTGGGTGTCTTGGTCAGCAGCCCTAAAAGCAGCTATCCTAAACCCCTTTAAAATTCGCGCGCACTCTTCAACAAGCACCTGTGTCGAGTCAGCATTGCTTGGTGCCGCCTGTCCTGTCTGAACCGACCCTTGACCTGACCCACTCGGCATAGAACCCATTGCAGCCACTTGTGGAGCTCCACCTTTCCCGTGAGGCTGGGATGAGCTAGAGCCTGCCTTTGGAGCACTCACGGAGTTCCCAGTAGCTGCGTTCGAGCCGTTGGCATTTGATGCACCCGCAGTTGCATTCGAAGAGGAGGATGACTCCCCCCAAGGAGGATTTGCCTCCTTGCCCCTTCCCTTGGGCCCCATTGGACGCTCACACTTGTCCTGACGGTGGCCTGTGCTTCCGCAGTTGAAACACCGGCTCTCCCCCTTCGCTTGCGCAAAGTTGTGCACCGCACGACACGCCCGTCCCCTGTTACAACCCGCCTCTGTAAGGTAAAATTTGCATGGCAGTCCCTCTTGTTTGCTTTTCCCCTTCCCTTTTCCTTTGGCCTCGTCTGCTGGAGCCGCAGGGCTCCCAGATTGAGGAGGTTGAGGTCTAGCTTTGGCTTGAGGGTTGTTTGATGGGACGTCAGCTTCAGCTTTAGCTACCTTGGGAACCTTGGGTCCTTTGGGAACAGTGTCCTCACCAGAAACAGCCAGCATGTCACATTCTGACAAAAGAATCTTCGACTAATCTTTAACCTTCTCCAGAGTAGGCTGATGATCAAGTTGCAGCGTGTGTCTAGCGGAACTACAGCGAAAACTTACATGAGGGTGCCGCTTAAGAATTGCACTGACGACCGCGTCAAGACCCTTCAAAAGGATCGAGCAATCTGGTATGGCTACCTGCATAGTGGCTGCCCTAGCCAAAGCACGGTGCCAAGCTCGGAGCCTAGAACAAGCCTCCGACGCCGCATTTGAAGGTCCCGGATTAGTTAGAGTCTCCAAAAGCCGAACCCTCTCTTGGAGCCCTCCCGGTTGAAAGAGCCTATACACGTGGTACAGCACACCTACGCAATGTGAACATCGTGATGCTACCAATGCTTGCTTCACAGTCTCTGGAACCGCCCCTTGCAGCATAGCATACGCCCGACTTTCCAAAGGTCTGAACTTCAAATGCCCAAGAGTTTTCGAGAGGGCTGGTTGTATCAGCGCCTTGTCCGATGCCAGTGCTTCACACCACCTTTGATACCAAGATCTAGCTTCATAGAGCACACGCTTCCACCACAGCGAGCTCCAAGGAGCCAGATCTGCCATGATTGGTTCCAACAAGTGAATCCAATCCGAAGCTCTAGTAGCAGCGTCTGAATCAGCAGTGGGCTCTTCCAAAGCTGGCAGTTGCCAGTAGACCCTATCCCCTGGAGCATACGGGTCTTTGTTCGAGGCACTCCCGGGGCTACCATGATTAGGAAGAGAAGGGGGCGCAAATCTTGTATCCACGNNCGTCGCGGCGAAAGCCCCGAGCGATCCGGCATGGAGCTCTGGCCGTCCCTCCAGCATCCAGTCCCCGTGGCGCTCATTCCGAAACCCTAGCGAGTCAGGAAACCCACTTTGCAACGACTCCTCATAGCTACACCCCGGAATCTCATACCCCTCTGTCATGGCAACCCCAGTAAACCCTACAGGAGGTCCCGAATGTCCTAGACGTGGCGACTTTGGTGGCTCACCTGATGGAATCGGAGTACCCTGTGGCGTTGTGCAGACACGGCTTTCCACTCTCTGAATTTGCTCAGGGGTTCTCGGCAGAGGGCTAACAGCACGATTGCGATTCGGTCTAAAGGTTCCGGAAATGTCCAGCAGCTCCGCCACCGACGGAGGGGAACTCACCAAAGACTCTCTGGAAACCGCTCTCGCTTCCTCTTTAGCTTTCCTATACCCTTCTTGCAAACCCTCAACATAATCAGGAGTGTTTCGCTCTTTGCCTGACACATACCTTCCTAAGGAAGACCCTGAAGACTCCTTGCCCACATGATGCCAACTCAACTGCTCGTCACCTGCATTTACAGCGCCCTGCAACCCTTCTCGTAAGGTTTGAGAGCCCCCTGAAGTAGCAGATTTCATAGCCTGGTCTTCCTCAAGTCTCTCTAGACGTTGTACAATACCACTATTCTGCTCGAAGAGGCTTTCCATCAACTCCTTCATCTGGGTCAGGATCTGCCGTTCAGCTGGTCGAAGACCTGGTGATTGAAGCGCAGCGGCCGGCTCAATCGAAGCAACCTCCGAACCAGTAGCAGCTGCAGTTGTTCTCACTCCAGCCCCTTCCGATCGATCCTCTACAGACGCAGTCTGTCCGCGCCCTTTTCCGGAACGTTCTTCCGGACCAGCCGCCAAAGTATCATCATACGGTCCAAACACTTGCGGTGGTCCCTGAGGAACTGGAGGTAGCCCTACAGCATCGTCCACTGCCCTCAGCTCTGTGGATGCGCTAGTCTGTTCAGAACCAGTCACCGCTTCATTCAAAGATGCTGGTCTTGCTGCTCTCAATCTAGCCTCCTCCTTCATCCTTTCTGACCAAAAGGGATTGGCCCGATTGTCTTGGATCTGCACATCACTCGCGAGTACGACTTCTTGGGGGCTCACCCCCGCTGTCCTCTCAGCAGCATCTCCACTCCCAGCAACCGCAGTCATCTCCTGGGAACGCACTGCCAACTCGCCACCTAGATCAAACTCTGGATCACCTTCCTTTCGACTTCTCCTCCGACGAAGACTTGAATCATCCATGGCACTCTAGCACTCTAGCGAAGCACGCAGGGCAACAGGCTGAGCCTTGGGCTCATAACCTGAGCCTTCACAAAACCCTCTTTTCTATTCTCAAGCAAAAAATGGCCTCCAGTGATTGCGCACTTCTCGATTTGTGCGTGTCATCCTTGTGCAGGAAAGGCTGGGACGGAGGGTGCCTTCACA